GGAAGGAATATAAAATGAACCTTTCCCTTAAAGGGGGGGGTGCGGCAGGGGTCAAGGAAAAAGGAACCTTCGCTTATCCTCCAGCTGACGGGAGTAGGGTGAGGAGCTTTCTTCACTGAAGACCAAATCAACTATGCTTTTACCAACCTAGAGCTAAAATAGCGCGACTTGACCCAAGTTCTCCTCTGGCCCTGTTGGCCCACTCATTTTTAATTTAAGATTGTTCGTTCTTTGGGTCAAGTCGGAGTGGTTGTATGTTATTTGATTTTTACTCTAAGTGTTATGCGAGTATGTCTCGCTGGACAGCTTCCCAAGACAGAAGGCCTGGCCTGAGGAAGGGGTGCAACCACAACCCTCCCTCGCACCCCAGCCCTCCACATGCCCTCCCCATACCCACATAAGAGCAAACTCTGTGGACTCCAGCCCAGCCCAGGGTTGGGGTTTGAAGGGAATAACTGGCTTCAGCTGCCCGCTTCTCGGCTCTTTGTCTATCTCAACCCCACTTGAATTGGGCACCGCCCTTCCTGTGGGCCCAGCTTCCCTCCCCCTCCAACTTCTCCCCCACACTCCCTCCCTCCCTCCCCGCCAGTTGTAGGTGACTCACTCGTGGTTCCAGGCCCAGGAAACCCAGCTCTCCCCCAGACCACATGCACCAGCTTGGAGCCCCTGGCTAGGAAGACCCCAGGGAGACATGGGTGATGACACCTGGACAAGACCAACTGAGAGCTCATGGGATTAGACTGTGAGCCAGGCTGGTTTCTGCCTGCTGATCACCATGTGACTTGGGGACCAGTCAGGACAGCATAGATGAAGTAGGTATTGGGGCCCCCCAGCATCCTCCTCTATACCTTAGCAAAGCCACCCAGTGTCCTCTCCTTTCTAAAACACTTGACCCCCCATGCCGTTGTTCTTCCCATCAGACCTACTTCAGGTAGAACTCAATTAAAAAATCCTTCACACCAAAAGAACGCTGTTAAAACAGTTCTTCCATTTTAATTTAGGGCATCAGCAGGCCCCTTCCTGCTCAGAAACTGGTTCATCCCCATGGCTCTTCCATAAAGGTGGCAGTGAGTGGCTCCCCATCCTGGCCACCATTGCTTTCCAACCTCCCTGCTGTTCTCTGACTGCTTAAACACACACAGGGATACACAGAGCTGGTGTGACCCACACCCTGGACTTACAGTCATCACCCTGCTCAGAATGTGCCCGCATACACCCACACCATGTCTCCTGCTGCTGAGATAACATCTACCCTTCAAAGGCCAGTTAAATGCCACCTACTTCATGGAGACTTCCCAAATGTAACCAGAGTCAGTTTCTACCTGTTCTGTTCCACACAAGACACTCCTTGTGTACTTGCCTGTGTACTTAAGAGCATTCCTATTTAGACTGAATCACATGTGTGCTTGTTTTCTCTCGCTCTCACCCCGTTATGGTGAGCTCACTGGGCAGGAACTGGGTCTTACTCATATCTGTATGAGCACAGGGTCTTGCCTACACCAAGTGCCGACCCATGTTTATGGCTGCCGAACGACAACAGTTGTCACTGGGAGTAGTAGGAAGGAGCTAGGGGTCAGGGAGCCCTTCTCATCACCTGAAACACACCACCGATTATACTAGCAAATACTTACTTCTCCCCTGTATCCCAGGAGTGGAACTGAGACACAGGGCTGGAAAACAGAGCTTCAGAGAGCCACCAATCCCTTAGGAGTGATGGCAGGAAACATCTTGCCATGGGGACCAAGTGAAGGAGCAGAGCAAACTCCCCAGCGGCCGGGGATGGAGACAGGAGGCAGACAAAGAGGCAGCAAGAGGGGCCAAAGAACTGTGAAAGGGAAGTCAAGGAGAAAATCAAAGAGAAACAGAACAGAGACAGAGGGGCTAGGGAGAACGGAACAAGATGAGAGTGAGGGTTACAGAGTATGCAGCACCTGGACCTTCCATAGCCAGGTGTCTCATCTCAGGAACTGAGGTCAGGGCTGCACCCATCCAATGACTATGTTCCTAAAACTGAAAAAATCCCAAGTAGCACACTGTCCTGATATTCTCCAATTTTCTACAAGGCAGAGAGGCCAGGACACAGGCAGGGAGTGGGGACTTCCAAGAACCCAAGAACCTAAGTCCTCACATTCTACCCTCACCCTCCCAGGCGCCAAGCACCAGAGTTAGAGTTACAGGGGCTGGCTTGGCTTTGCCCGTTTGACTTGTGCCCCCTGGTGGTTAAGGTGTTTCATTGCAGTGCAGGGCTCTGCTTTTCCTCCAGTCCTCCAGCCCTTCCCATGCCATGCTCCTGACTCACCCAGAAGGAGGAGCTGCTGATTCATCTCCAAGGAGCTTTCCCACACCCACCCTTGCCTCCCATAGAAGGGGGGGCTGCTGGACAGCCCCTGCTGAGAAGCCCAGGTGAACTGAGATGGACGCTGAAGACCCGGAAACCGGTTTAAAAAGCCTAGGATGGGGCAGGAGGGAAACAGGTGTCAGAAGTGATTCTGAGCACTGCCAAGGTCAGCCCACCCACTCCTTTCCCTGGGAGTGTTGATTGTAAAGAGAAAATGGCCTCACCGTTAAGGACCAGGTGTAAGTCCTCTGATTCAGCAGGTAACCCTGAGTGAGTTGTACCACAGTGTGAGCTCAAACTTTTTCACCGTAAGGATCACTTTTATTATCCCCCGCCCCTTGGAAACGCTGAATATTTTTTCTTACCAAACTGCATTAGCTCATTCATGACCTCTGTTTTATTCATTGTACCTATAACTATCCTGATACCGTGACCAGCATAACAGAACCCCCTTCTCCCACAGTAGCTCATTCTGGATTTGCTGTGTGTGTGTGTTCCTTTGCTGGAGGACATTACAGTGTTTTCCATAGATTATCCCACTTGATTCGCACAACTCCAGATAGAGAAAGAAACTGAGGCTCAGGGAAATTTGCCCAAATTCACAGTTAATAAGGAAGGAGGCAAGACTTAAATAGTTGTTTAGCAGTGTTAAACCTCTTCTATGATCCCTGTGGCCCTAACGTTCCCATTCCTGCTCAGACCAGCCCCAGCCTCTGTCCATCTTTTCCTCACTCCTCAACCCAGCTGATCAGTCTCATTTCTCCATTCTATATGAAGCCCAGGATCTCTTCTTCTCAGCCTCTCTGGTTCTGGCATCTTTTCCTTCAAATGCCCCATGGCCTGGATCTAAAATAAGCTTGCTCTACTCTCCCACCTCCC